AACTTGCACAGTAGCATTTGATTATCATCTTGTGTGGGCTCTGATTTATGATTCCCATATTACAGCTATGAACCCACTTTTGCCCTGCCTATCACACCTTTGTGGAAAAATCATAAGCTTGGTATATAAGTTGTCCATGGATCAAATTCAAATTGGATTTTGTCCTATTATAATCCAAATTCGATTTGAAAAAAATTGCAATTTAAATTCAATTTGATATCTGATTTAGAATTGCAAAATCAGATCGAATTTGAATAACTAGCTTGAGATGAATTTTAATAAATTATTAGGAGTAACTCGTACCTGAAGGCACGGTGCAATGTAAATGATTTTGAGAGGAATATTGGTGACATTGAATGAGTCTATTTGAAGCTGTTACATGAGTTTATTGATGTCTGTCCAGTTTTATATTATAGATGTTTAGATTTGAAATCTATTTCAACAAACGATTACATAATTTCATCCTATGTATATGATTCAAATCAAACTATAAATGGCCAAATAATGATAAATCTAAATTCGATGTAAAATACAATATAAAATATTCAAGTTTCGATCGGTGTTCAAAAATACCAAGTCAAATTGCTCGTCAAATTCAAATTTAGATTGAATTTAGATCAAAAGGTGATCCATTGAGAAACCAACTTGTGGGTGTTAAGACTCAAAAGTTATTGGAATAAAGGAAATGGGATGGTGTACGTTTGTCATACAGGAGCCTTGTGTGACAAAAACTTGGTAGAATTCTCATATCACAAGCAGCAGGCAAAGGAGTCGACTAGATTGATTTTCTTGTGAAAAAGTAGTGTGGACCCAATAGTTTTAGCAGAACCCTATTTAGATGTATGTGTGACAGTGCCAACCATAGCATTGGATCATGCCTTAAGATCTAAATAGTTGTCAAATTTGGCCAAAATTGGTTGGTTTGTCCACTTTGCAGACATGTTTGACCTTATGACAAGTTGCACAAGTTGTTAACTGACGAGTCATAAATATAAAAGTCTGTGAATTAGAATTTTTATAATTTCTTATAATTAGCTCGTGAATATTTTAGTTTCAATTTAGATGGTTTGTCTATGATTGGTCCAGAAAAGAGATTAGTCGAGATACGAATAAATTAGTCTGGACACCTCTGACCATTAAACCAAAAAAAAAGATAAGTGGTCTAAGTTGCTTATACCATGGGCAGAGATTTGTTATACGGTAATGTTACGCTGACCAAATTTTGGGACCAAATGACATGACAGTATATTATTTAGAGTCTTCATTTGTACTCTAAATTTAATCCTAAAATTTTGTCAGTATAACATTACTGTGTGTCATAATCACGGGGAATAGATATTATCGTCTTAAGCATTCGTTTATCGGACCAGGAAATTTTGGTTCTAATGGACTTTTGAACCTCCTTACATTGTTTTTTGGTTAACGGAGACTTATTTTAACATCGTGTTTTTTAGAATAATGATATTCGTTAATCACGCAAATCGGTCGAACCTAAATTGTGTATGACCAAGACTCAAACTTACAGATTTACTTGTTCAAAGGCTGAACCAACCCGTCTTGGTTAGTGATTTTATCCCTTGGACTGGTTTGAGTTCCAACCACAATTATTAAGCCACCGGCGGTCTTTGGCCGCTACTAAAGTTTTACGTGGGACTTGATTTTGATCCCATTCACCCCTAATATTCTGATGAACATTTTCAGTGAAGTTTTGTAGTAAGTGGGTGACTCTGACTATTAACCATTGACATCACTTAATCTGGAATGCTCTGTGGAAAGAATAGTCCATTTGTGATGCACAGAGGGGCCACCTTGTCCGGGTCAAGTTCTTGGCTTTACTGACCACCATGAACATACCTTCAACGTCATGATCATTGTGAGTGTATAAGGGGCCAAGTTGAAACTTCCTCCTACGATTCCTTGTGACCAGACACGGTATCTATGATAGTGAAGTGTAACTGTGTTAAGTCCTCAAAACACTTGGCCTCAGTTCATTGATGAGAAGGTGGAGGAAGATAATCTGTATTCTCAAATGTTCTTGTCAAAACTGTATTTTTTTGTTTAATACATTGCAAATTCAACTAGTCAGGGTAGTTGGGATGAGAACCCTGTAGCCATTATTATTACTTTAAGATCTTAAGTTCAATACCCAGAAGCCGCAAGACAGTATTACTTTAGACGTTTCTAATGTAAAATAGGTTGTATTAGATTATCATGTGAAAGTCGGAATGAAGCGGGCTCAGTACCATGTGATTTGGACCAGGCTAAAGATCAATACCTATTGCTTTGTCGCAAGCTCTTTTGTTTTTTAGTGAAATTTCGTTGTTTAGGCCTTGCAATTAAAGTTTTTTTTTTTTTGAAAACAATTTATAACAAATTCTACAAAACCCCAATTCTAGTGCAGTCAATTTTAATAAACTCTAGACGAAACATGTTTTTATTTTAATTAGTTAGATTGTAATTTTTTGTATTTTTTTAATTATGGTAAAATTAGAAATTTTACCTGGTAGTATCTCTTATTTTCTCTAAATTTGGATATGTACAAAGAAATGGTGGTTTTGCTTTTATTTTAATTACCCAAATTGTAATTTCTTTTATTTTGTAATTATGGTAAAATTATAAATTTTACTTGGTAGTTTCTCTTATTTTCTTTGGATTCGGGTCTGTACACATGGCATCATATTCTCCTATTTCTATATATTTGGGAGTGGAGAAGGAGGCTTAAACTCCTGACCTTAAAAAGATAACACCTTCACAAAATAAAGAATATCATTGGATCAAAGGTCCGTCGGTACTCTTGCCAACATAACCAGCAATGGCACAATATAATGTGATGGTAGCCATGGATAGACTTCTGAGAACTTATGGTGAACATTAAAATATCGCCATTGATCTATGATACGGTTGTGAAATTTTGGCATACTTGGTGCCAATTAAATCCAACAGTTTCCTTGAAATTTGCCAACACACTCTGACCCACATCTAATCTAGTCTTTAATATATTATTCGTCCTCTGATAAAGTTGATAAATAAAGTAATGTGAAACCTTGGGACAGTGAGCCTATCAATTGAAGTGTGAAAGCAAAGTTTTCTTGACATATATTACTGTAATCTGATCCAACCTGCGAGGATAGACTTTGATGGAGTGTTTGATAGGGTAGAAAACATGGTGGATGAAAAAGAGGGATAGGAAAATAGGATGGGAAGAGTGATTGATTTTCCATTGTTGAGGTCAAGTGGAAAATAACAAGTGGCAAAAAAGAGGGATAGGAAATTGAGGGTGAAAAAGGTACACATACAAAATAAACAAAACTAAGACTTTGTTATAGTTTTGTAATTCAAATTTATAGTTGCCAAACATAGCATGTGTTGTTAGTCGATGAATTTCACATTTAAATTTGTAGAACTGAGATTATTATTCTGAAAATGTAGAAGAATTTTGTGCTATCAATTCACAAATACGATAACGTTCTATAGAAGATTTGCTCGAAACTGTTCACTTTCGTTTGGTTATCTCTAATCATGAAATCTTTTTACTTGTTAAATTTGTGTGAAAGCATTAGGGAGTGTGTACAATCAAGTCCTTTGTAATTATAGTTTACACGCTAAGGGCTCGTTTGGTAACGTTTACGATTTTTAATATTCTAAAAAATAAAAAACGACTTTTTCTCGTTTTTAAAAATCGTCTCTCGTTTACAAAACGATGACAGAAAAAAAAAATAAAAACGATTATCAAACGAGTTTTTTTTTTTATTATTTTCTCTAAATATCAAAATAAAAACAAAAAACATAAATGTTACTAAACGAGACTTAAGAAATTATAATTTAATCTTAAAAAATTATGATTTTCTGCACGGTGGCAGAAGCGATACCATAGGTAAGGTTCTTATGCTCCGGACTGTCCAGTTTCATGGTGGAATAGTATATCCTGACACCCAAACATTGCCAAATCAAGTCTCTAGCAATCGCGATTAGTCGCACCAACAGACCACACCGTATTGACAAGCCTGATATGCTGACGCCATTCAAATCTTAAGTCGGCTTCGCTAGAGCCGAGCCGTATTACCTTTTCGGCTTTTCTACTTATCAAAACCAATCGCTTATAAGTTATAAGCATTCAATACTCTATTGCTATTGGGATATAATTTATGAACATAATTTGATAATATAATGAGTTGTCATTAATAATATAATAATGAATTCATTTAATGTTACAATGTGACTCATCATTAAATACATTTTACTATTATTTCATTGATAACAATTCATTATGTTTTCAAATTATATATCTTTAAATTATGTCCAAATAGTATTATCGCTCTCCAAAACGGTCTAAAATACTGGCAATAGCCGGTGCACGAACGTTGCATTTGAATGTGAATTTGGGTTCATTTCATTTGTCAAATTGCAGTATACCTAACCCCAGTCAGATTCTAACCCCAAACCTGACCCAAGTTGGTTTATTTAAAGAGAGAGAAAGCGTAGGTGGCCAGCTGGGTTGCGAACTGGTTCACTGATCTGCCCATTACCATCTCTCTCTCTCTCTCGATCTTTTTTCCTTCTGTAGATGACCAGTCATAGACCATTGTGCTCAAACTTTGAACTGATTGCATAATGATGTGGTTAGAAGAGTGTGTGTGTGTGGTATTGATTACTTCTCTACTGGGTTTTGGTGGTTTGGCTTGATTTTCTTGTGGGTTATTATTTTTTTTCTTTTTGATGGGTTCAGAGGGGGAAGAAGTGTTGAAAAAGGAGAAATATGAGGAACCTAAGAGAGAGAGATTGTGGTACAGTGACTCAATCTGCATACAAAAACACTCTGCATGTTGGTGCTCTTTTGGCCATGGCAGTTTTGCTTGCTTGTTTACCCACAAGTAAAAGAACTTGTGCTTAACACAACTTTGAGCTCACTAAATCTCTCACTAAAAACATCAACAAAAAGCAGGTAAAGGGTGTGGTCCGATCTAAATAGATCTGTTTAGAGTACTACTTTGCAATCAGTCATGAAGAGACTTGGCAGCTCTGATTCCTTGGGTGCTTTGATGTCCATCTGTCCAACCACAGGTGCTAACAATTTTTCCTTATTTGTTACACTTTTGATTGTTCATTTCCAAAGATTCAAACATACCCATACCATGTTTTCCTGTCCATCCCCTTTCATATAATCAATCACCTTGAAATTCATCAATAAAATTTCTTAAGTTAATAAGTTTTTTCCTGTTTTAGTAAACTTTTAATGCTTTATTTTTTGTTCTTTCTGGGTTCTCTCTCTCTCTCGTCCTAGTTTTGTTGGAGACAATTATGTGTTTTTGAATGTTCACTAACTCTGATATTCTTTTTCGTTTGAATTTTTTTTAGAAGAACACAGCCCAGGGCACAACCAAGTTTACCCAAGGCAGTTCCAGTCCATGTTGGAAGGCCTAGAGGAAGAAGACTGTGGTGAAGATTCAGGTCATATCGCGGAGAAGAAAAGGCGATTAAGCGTGGAGCAAGTGAAGGCATTAGAGAAAAATTTCGAAGTCGAAAACAAGCTTGAACCAGAGAGAAAAGTGAAGCTTGCTCAAGAACTTGGGCTGCAACCAAGGCAAGTAGCTGTTTGGTTCCAAAACCGCCGCGCTCGGTGGAAAACCAAGCAATTGGAGAGAGACTATGGTCTTCTCAAAGCCAGTTTTGAGGCACTCAAGCACAATTATGAGACACTTCAACATGACAATGAAGCTCTACTCAAAGAGGTAACGTTCAGATCAACCTTGTTACCAAAACAACGTATAATCTTTTTGAATAGTCGGTGGTTTAATACACTATCTGACCAAAAAACCTTCCTTCGAATCTCGTTCCTACCACAATATGTATAAGAATTACATGATCTAAAATTTTTCACGCACACGTGAGGAAACATATTGAAATACGTTAAATCATCATTTATTCTAGATATTTAAATTATTAGAGAAACTGTAACCGAAATATTTTACACTTTAACATGTCCCTTTCTTTGCAAATTAGACTTTGGATGCGAAAATCTTAAAACTGTCAGGGAGAGAGCAGGGAAAGTGGAACTTAGAAATTCTGACTCTAATACTATGTTAAAACACAATTAACTTATATTGTTTGAAGGGTATAACCTAATAAATATTTTGTTTCGACAAAATATATGTATGTTCATGTTCTACCCTCTTTCATAATTGTCTCAAGGAACCAAAACCTTGTAAGACAAGAGCGATTTAACACTAACACGGTAAGTTCTTTTACTTCCTTATGTAGATAGGAGAATTGAAATCAAAGCAACATGAGGAGAACTCAGAGAGCAATGCCTCCGTGAAAGAAGAAGCAATGTTGTCTGAAAACGAGGACAAAGTTGTGGAAGACACTAAGCCACCCACAAATTCTCTCTCTAAACGTGAAGCTGCTGAACTGAACTACAAGAGCTTCACCACCAACAACTATAACAACAATGGAGTAGTCGGAGACTCGTTGCTTCCAGATTTCAAAGATGGTTCTTCTGATAGCGACTCGAGCGCGATCCTGAACGAAGAAAATAATAGCCCAAATGCTGCCATTTCTTCATCTGGGGTTCTTCAGGGCCACCAGTTCTTGATCTCTAATGAATCTTCAATGCTGAAATTCAACTGTTCTTCGTCATCGTCGCCTTCATCGATGAATTGTTTCCACTTCTCAGAGGCAAAGTCGATTCTTGGGGATGATGCCCAGAAGGCGTATCTGCCACAGTTTGTGAAGATTGAGGAGCACAATTTTTTCGGTGGGGATGAGTCCTGTAATTTCTTCTCGGATGAACAAGCTCCAACTCTTCAATGGTACTGTCCCGATCACTGGACTTGAAGGTGAAAAATTAAAAAACCCAGATCAAAGAAGCTGAGAATAAGTAAGAGACGCAAAAGAAAAAAAAAACAGAAATCTATGGGGGCTACAAAAATTTTGTAAATCGAAAAGTGGACCACTAGAGTACATGCAATGAAATTTGCTTTCTCCATTGTACAAAGTCAAGTTGCAGATAAATGGGTCAGTGCAGAAGATGAGATAAAAGAGAGGAAAGAGAGTGATTCACGTGGAGGTGTGGTGGCAGTTGGACTCTGGGTTGGGCTATAAGCAATGGGGGAATGAATGATAAGGTAGTAATTAAGCTTTCAGTCTCTCTACTGTTAAAGAAGGAAAAGCTTTGAACTTGAATTAAGAATAGCTTATAGTAGTTGAAAGTGTTTACCCTTTGTGTCATTCTATTACTAGAAAGAGGTTAAAATGACTTTCAATGTGTATGTATAATTAGGGAATTTTTTCCACCAACTGTCGAATTTTCTTTTAAAAAAAATAATAATGTTATATTGATCAAAATTTAGAACTAAATTTTGAGTTCAAACGACATGATAGTTGATTTGAATTTTTTTTATTGGTGTTATTTGATTGGTGTTATATCATTTGAGTTTTAAATTTGGTCTCAAATTTTGATCAACGTAACATTACTCAAAAAANCACCAACTGTCGAATTTTCTTTTAAAAAAAATAATAATGTTATATTGATCAAAATTTAGAACTAAATTTTGAGTTCAAAATAGTTGATTTGAATTTTTTTTATTGGTGTTATTTGATTGGTGTTATGTCATTTGAGTTTTAAATTTGGTCTCAAATTTTGATCAACGTAACATTACTCAAAAAAAAAAAAAAGNGTTAGATTGTAATTTTTTGTATTTTTTTAATTATGGTAAAATTAGAAATTTTACCTGGTAGTATCTCTTATTTTCTCTAAATTTGGATATGTACAAAGAAATGGTGGTTTTGCTTTTATTTTAATTACCCAAATTGTAATTTCTTTTATTTTGTAATTATGGTAAAATTATAAATTTTACTTGGTAGTTTCTCTTATTTTCTTTGGATTCGGGTCTGTACACATGGCATCATATTCTCCTATTTCTATATATTTGGGAGTGGAGAAGGAGGCTTAAACTCCTGACCTTAAAAAGATAACACCTTCACAAAATAAAGAATATCATTGGATCAAAGGTCCGTCGGTACTCTTGCCAACATAACCAGCAATGGCACAATATAATGTGATGGTAGCCATGGATAGACTTCTGAGAACTTATGGTGAACATTAAAATATCGCCATTGATCTATGATACGGTTGTGAAATTTTGGCATACTTGGTGCCAATTAAATCCAACAGTTTCCTTGAAATTTGCCAACACACTCTGACCCACATCTAATCTAGTCTTTAATATATTATTCGTCCTCTGATAAAGTTGATAAATAAAGTAATGTGAAACCTTGGGACAGTGAGCCTATCAATTGAAGTGTGAAAGCAAAGTTTTCTTGACATATATTACTGTAATCTGATCCAACCTGCGAGGATAGACTTTGATGGAGTGTTTGATAGGGTAGAAAACATGGTGGATGAAAAAGAGGGATAGGAAAATAGGATGGGAAGAGTGATTGATTTTCCATTGTTGAGGTCAAGTGGAAAATAACAAGTGGCAAAAAAGAGGGATAGGAAATTGAGGGTGAAAAAGGTACACATACAAAATAAACAAAACTAAGACTTTGTTATAGTTTTGTAATTCAAATTTATAGTTGCCAAACATAGCATGTGTTGTTAGTTGATGAATTTCACATTTAAATTTGTAGAACTGAGATTATTATTCTGAAAATGTAGAAGAATTTTGTGCTATCAATTCACAAATACGATAACGTTCTATAGAAGATTTGCTCGAAACTGTTCACTTTCGTTTGGTTATCTCTAATCATGAAATCTTTTTACTTGTTAAATTTGTGTGAAAGCATTAGGGAGTGTGTACAATCAAGTCCTTTGTAATTATAGTTTACACGCTAAGGGCTCGTTTGGTAACGTTTACGATTTTTTATTTTCTAAAAAATGAAAAATGACTTTTTCTCGTTTTTAAAAATCGTCTCTCGTTTACAAAACGATGACAGAAAAAAAAAAAAAACGATTATCAAACGAGTTTTTTTTTTATTATTTTCTCTAAATATCAAAATAAAAACAAAAAACATAAATGTTACTAAACGGGACCTAAGAAATTATAATTTAATCTTAAAAAATTATGATTTTCTGCACGGTGGCAGAAGCGATGCCATAGGTAAGGTTCTTATGCTCCGGACTGTCCAGTTTCATGGTGGAATAGTATATCGTGACACCCAAACATTGCCAAATCAAGTCTCTTGTAATCGCGATTAGTCGCACCAACAGACCACGCCGTATTGACAAGCCTGATATGCTGACGCCATTCAAATCTTAAGTCGGCTTCGCTAGAGCCGAGCCGTATTACCTTTTCGGCTTTTCTACTTATCAAAACCAATCGCTTATAAGTTATAAGCATTCAATACTCTATTGCTATTGGGATATAATTTATGAACATAATTTGATAATATAATGAGTTGTCATTAATAATATAATAATGAATTCATTTAATGTTACAATGTGACTCATCATTAAATACATTTTACTATTATTTCATTGATAACAATTCATTATGTTTTCAAATTATATATCTTTAAATTATGTCCAAATAGTATTATCGCTCTCCAAAACGGTCTAAAATACTGGCAATAGCCGGTGCACGAACGTTGCATTTGAATGTGAATTTGGGTTCATTTCATTTGTCAAATTGCAGTATACCTAACCCCAGTCAGATTCTAACCCCAAACCTGACCCAAGTTGGTTTATTTAAAGAGAGAGAAAGCGTAGGTGGCCAGCTGGGTTGCGAACTGGTTCACTGATCTGCCCATTACCATCTCTCTCTCTCTCTCGATCTTTTTTCCTTCTGTAGATGACCAGTCATAGACCATTGTGCTCAAACTTTGAACTGATTGCATAATGATGTGGTTAGAAGAGTGTGTGTGTGTGGTATTGATTACTTCTCTACTGGGTTTTGGTGGTTTGGCTTGATTTTCTTGTGGGTTATTATTTTTTTTCTTTTTGATGGGTTCAGAGGGGGAAGAAGTGTTGAAAAAGGAGAAATATGAGGAACCTAAGAGAGAGAGATTGTGGTACAGTGACTCAATCTGCATACAAAAACACTCTGCATGTTGGTGCTCTTTTGGCCATGGCAGTTTTGCTTGCTTGTTTACCCACAAGTAAAAGAACTTGTGCTTAACACAACTTTGAGCTCACTAAATCTCTCACTAAAAACATCAACAAAAAGCAGGTAAAGGGTGTGGTCCGATCTAAATAGATCTGTTTAGAGTACTACTTTGCAATCAGTCATGAAGAGACTTGGCAGCTCTGATTCCTTGGGTGCTTTGATGTCCATCTGTCCAACCACAGGTGCTAACAATTTTTCCTTATTTGTTACACTTTTGATTGTTCATTTCCAAAGATTCAAACATACCCATACCATGTTTTCCTGTCCATCCCCTTTCATATAATCAATCACCTTGAAATTCATCAATAAAATTTCTTAAGTTAATAAGTTTTTTCCTGTTTTAGTAAACTTTTAATGCTTTATTTTTTGTTCTTTCTGGGTTCTCTCTCTCTCTCGTCCTAGTTTTGTTGGAGACAATTATGTGTTTTTGAATGTTCACTAACTCTGATATTCTTTTTCGTTTGAATTTTTTTTAGAAGAACACAGCCCAGGGCACAACCAAGTTTACCCAAGGCAGTTCCAGTCCATGTTGGAAGGCCTAGAGGAAGAAGACTGTGGTGAAGATTCAGGTCATATCGCGGAGAAGAAAAGGCGATTAAGCGTGGAGCAAGTGAAGGCATTAGAGAAAAATTTCGAAGTCGAAAACAAGCTTGAACCAGAGAGAAAAGTGAAGCTTGCTCAAGAACTTGGGCTGCAACCAAGGCAAGTAGCTGTTTGGTTCCAAAACCGCCGCGCTCGGTGGAAAACCAAGCAATTGGAGAGAGACTATGGTCTTCTCAAAGCCAGTTTTGAGGCACTCAAGCACAATTATGAGACACTTCAACATGACAATGAAGCTCTACTCAAAGAGGTAACGTTCAGATCAACCTTGTTACCAAAACAACGTATAATCTTTTTGAATAGTCGGTGGTTTAATACACTATCTGACCAAAAAACCTTCCTTCGAATCTCGTTCCTACCACAATATGTATAAGAATTACATGATCTAAAATTTTTCACGCACACGTGAGGAAACATATTGAAATACGTTAAATCATCATTTATTCTAGATATTTAAATTATTAGAGAAACTGTAACCGAAATATTTTACACTTTAACATGTCCCTTTCTTTGCAAATTAGACTTTGGATGCGAAAATCTTAAAACTGTCAGGGAGAGAGCAGGGAAAGTGGAACTTAGAAATTCTGACTCTAATACTATGTTAAAACACAATTAACTTATATTGTTTGAAGGGTATAACCTAATAAATATTTTGTTTCGACAAAATATATGTATGTTCATGTTCTACCCTCTTTCATAATTGTCTCAAGGAACCAAAACCTTGTAAGACAAGAGCGATTTAACACTAACACGGTAAGTTCTTTTACTTCCTTATGTAGATAGGAGAATTGAAATCAAAGCAACATGAGGAGAACTCAGAGAGCAATGCCTCCGTGAAAGAAGAAGCAATGTTGTCTGAAAACGAGGACAAAGTTGTGGAAGACACTAAGCCACCCACAAATTCTCTCTCTAAACGTGAAGCTGCTGAACTGAACTACAAGAGCTTCACCACCAACAACTATAACAACAATGGAGTAGTCGGAGACTCGTTGCTTCCAGATTTCAAAGATGGTTCTTCTGATAGCGACTCGAGCGCGATCCTGAACGAAGAAAATAATAGCCCAAATGCTGCCATTTCTTCATCTGGGGTTCTTCAGGGCCACCAGTTCTTGATCTCTAATGAATCTTCAATGCTGAAATTCAACTGTTCTTCGTCATCGTCGCCTTCATCGATGAATTGTTTCCACTTCTCAGAGGCAAAGTCGATTCTTGGGGATGATGCCCAGAAGGCGTATCTGCCACAGTTTGTGAAGATTGAGGAGCACAATTTTTTCGGTGGGGATGAGTCCTGTAATTTCTTCTCGGATGAACAAGCTCCAACTCTTCAATGGTACTGTCCCGATCACTGGACTTGAAGGTGAAAAATTAAAAAACCCAGATCAAAGAAGCTGAGAA